ATCTCATAATTAATATTGAATACTAAAAATTTCTTAGAATCAAAAGCTACTAGGAGGAGCTTATCATCTCTTCCCATTTATGACAAAATAATAATTATAATAAAATCTAATGTATCTATTTTCATGAAGAATGCCTTAAAAAAATTGATATGATATAAAATTGGTGTAAAAATAAATATTTTCTTTAAGACTTCAAAAGATACTTCAACTTCTTTGATCTACTTAAATTTATTTTTAAATTTTAGATGTATAAGATGAGTCACAACTTGAAAAAAGTTTTTAATAAAGATCATGTAATAATTGGAAAATTCTAAAAAATATTGTACATCTCTAACTATTTTTGAAATCATCTATTCTATGACAAAGTGGACTATCTTTGGATCCATCAATAGTCCTTCATTGGAAATGATGTATCTTAAAAAGTCAACTTAAATAGTATAGAATATATATTTTTTCATCTTTGCATATAATTCTATATCTTTAAATTTTTGTAACATATGATGAATATGAATTTTATATTTTTTTATATTCTTAGCATAGATTAGAATATTTTTTAAATAGCAAACAACAAAATTATTAAAAAATTTACAAAAAAATATGATTTATGAGATGTTAAAAAGGAATTATTATATTCAAATCTAAAAGATATGATATTATATTTAAAACATCTATACTTAGTTTAACAAACTTAATTCAAAAAATAATCTTTGTATTCATTTTTTTTTTTATGTGGACCAAGTTATATGCTCTTTGTAGATTTATTTTTGTATAGATGTTTATTTGATTGAATTAACTAAGAAGACTTGAAATTAGAGGTAGAGAATATTTATTCTTAATTGTGACCTTAGTTAGGCTTTGATAGTCAATGTTTATCAGCAAAGATCTATTTTTTTTTTACAAATAAAATAAAAGCTCTTATTAGAGATTTTAAATAACTTATGAAGTTTTTAGTCAAGTTCTTATCAATGTATTTTTTTAGTCTAGCCATCTCATTTTGCAACAAGTTATAGATTGGTTAAAATGATAATTAAGCTTTTCTTACAAATCAATTAAATAATCATAAGTTCAATAATTTACAAGAATATCTATATTTTTTTTAAAATATCTTGAAAATCTTAATATTAGCTAGAAATATCACTTGACATTTTTTCACCATTAGAAATAAGCATGGCATATATAACAAAAGATGACCCTTCTTTTGCCGCATGCATAAAAGCTTTTTCATTGATTAATAAAGATTTGAATGTATTAGACTTATATATTTCTATTTAAAAAATAGAATTTTAGATTAAATTATAAGAAAAGTTAAGATTATAAAAAATCCAATCTATCTAAGGATTATACTTTTTTAACCATAATAATCCTAATATAACCAGATTAGAAGGAGATCTTATCACATTAAATATTACTACATCATTATGATCTTTAATTGCTCCATCTAAAGAAACAATCTTATAAATAACATCTCCAAAAGATAATAAATGACCATCTATGACTTTTATATGTACAGATTTAGTTTTCTTGATTAATGATATCTCATGTTTTTTGATAAAATCTTTGACTATAAAATATGTTGAGACTCCTAAATCTAATAAGACTAAGACTTTGTGATTTTTTAATCCTAAATAAAATTCTATTATGAAATAAGATGGGAGATATGAAAAGAGAATATGATCTTTATTAGAAGTTATGTAAGATTTTAGCCACATGATTCCTATTGTAACTAGACAAACTTGTTTTGTAATATGTCTTTTTTGGCAACTATGCTCCTTATTTTGTAATTATGTTGTTTTTTTAGATAATAATGAATAATTTACTTGGATATTTTACAATATAGGTACTATCAAGGATAAGAACTCAATGAAAAAGTAATTTAGACAAGTGAGCCTTCACTCAAAGAAAGGTAACAAAATATAAATAAGTAAGTATGTATATTGAAAGAAAAACTAGAATGGCTATTACCAAAAGACAAGAAAACTAGAGACCCTTGAAACTAGATTGAAAGCAAGAAAGGACTTGACAAGAGTGAAGAAGGCTTCACTCTTATCTCTATATATACTATCTAACTAAGGGCTACATGGCGACGTTCTATAGGACCTCCAATATGTGTTGACTTTATAGGATACATGCCTTGACTTACAAGGCAAGTTTTTCTATGTGTGGCCCACATAGTTAGCTTGATCTTCAAGCTAACAACATGTGTGGCACATGGCCAACTTGTTGACCATGTTTCTAATCCAAAAAGTCAATTAAAGACACTTATGAAGTCAAAGCAGCGTCTATGAAGCTTTTAAGAAGCTATCATATTAAATACTATAGAATTAACTTACTTTTACTTACTTTTACTTACTTCTACCTATTTGTATATGTAATTATTGGCTTACATGAGTATGTCCGTGATAGGTACAAACCTTTTTGATAATGATGAGTCTTTTTGTACTCAATAAGAGAATTATAATGTACTATGTCAATTTATATAAGCTTTGGCCCAAACAAGTAAGCTTCCAAAAATTCAAAAGATGTTGCTCTAGCTTGATTTGTATTTCTCTAACCAAATCTTTGTTCTTAACATCTTTCAAAGAGTCAATTGTTACATGCAATGGCTTGAGCAATAAATCTTTTTTTTTATAAACAACTCAAAAAAATCCAAAAAATTAAATTAGAAGAGAATAATCTACAATCTCTAATATCAAATAAAAATTTCCATAAAAAGGAGTAATTTACTCTCTTTAACAAAAAAATCAATATTAAAAATTAAATTATTTATTCAAAGATGGATAGTCTACAACCTTCAAAATATAATAATAGAAGTATGATAATCTACTTACTTCTAAACCAAGATAAGAATAATAAATTAGCATTCTTGTCAAATTATCAAGGATATAAATTTTTTAAAAAAGAAATCCTCAATATATCCTTTTATCACTTAAAAAGACTAGAAAATCACTCAAAGATGGTAATATATTGAACTAAAATAGCTATTGCCAAAGATAAGAAGACTAGAAAGTCTTGAAACAAGACTAAGAACTAAAAGGGCATTGACAAGAGTGAAGAAGGCTTTACTCTTGCTTCCATATATATTCTCTAACTAGAAGCTATGGGACAATATTCTATAAGACCTCTAATATGTGTTGACTTTGCTAGACACATAACTTAACTTGCAAAGCAAGTTATCTATATATGCGCCACATAGTTAACTTGTTCTATAAGCTACTAACACATGTATCACATGGTTAATTTGTTGACCAAATTTTTAGTCTATCAATTAACTACAAACACATGTAAAGTCAAAGTAGTATCTATGAAGCTTCTACGAAGTTTTTTTAGAAGATTTTATGAAATTAATCTATTTTTCACAACTTCTATTTAATCATATAGGTAATTATTGGGATAAATACATATTTCTATGACAATTGTCAAAAGATATTGTATTAAACAAATGGATTCAATTCATATCTAAATATCGTAGAATATTTTAGATATTGAAAGTAAATATAAAATTATTATCAATCTTCTATCTTCAAAATAATAAATAAATAGTATAATTAAATTAAGTATTGGAAAAATATCAAAATTTTACTATCAAGTATTATTATAATAATTAGATATATTTATTAACTTTAATAAAAAAAATTGTAATAAGAAAATATTTTTTTATTTAATAGTGACTATTTTATACTAACTATGATTATTATCTATGATTTGATATTTTATAATGTTTAAAATTAAATAATCCTTTGACTAAAGATTTGATAAATTATTTATTAAAATTACATATGATAATGAAAAAAAAGTTCAAGTATAGCAAAAGATAAAAGTAAATGTTTATCAAAAAGATCAATATTAATTTCAAGTTGGTGATAAAATATGGTTATTTCATTATAGTATCAAAACTAAATATCCTTATGACAAATTAGATTATTATAAAGTTTGACCATTTTACATCAATGAACAAATTAACTTGATTGTAGGTCAATCATACCTACTAGAGTCAATGAAAATTCATCATATTTTTTACATATTTCTTTTTGAGCTATATATAATAGTAGATATACTAAAAAATGATAATTACCACCTCTATCAATGAAAGTCCATAAGAATCAAAAGTTTGAAACAAAAGAGATTTAGGACTCAAGGCAACTTCAAAATATATTAAAAAATATTAATATTGATACAGATGTGATAGTAATGAATGCACATGGAAATTGTCTAAGAATTTTATAAATGTAGTAGAGAGGTCAATGTTTTTTTTCAACAACATCCATGAAACTGAGATGAGAAGTATAAAAATGTTATAATATAACACTAAAGATTCAATCTACAATCTACTTTCTTCTTTCTTTCATTTTTTTGATAGTTTTATTATAAGATTTTTGCTTCACCAAGTTGAAAAACAAACAATCTTTTTAGTCATATTAAGAATTATTGTTAATAAAATTATCAAAAAAATAATGTAGATTGTTGCAACCTTCACAATAATGTAATAGAAAATGAAAATTCGCAAGAACATATTTGTTTCTTGAATAGATGGCAAGATATAAGACATTTGATATCACAACCTTAGAAGAAAATCTCAATGTTTGGTAATAACAATGTATATCTTATTCTATTTATTTATATTCTTTGAGACTTGTCTTTGATATTTAAATAAGTCAAATTCTTTATATTAATTAAATATTTATAAATAATTTTTTTAATAAATTTAAATAATTTTTTAATTATAGAAAGTATTTGAAACTTGTATTGATATTATTTCTTTGTTAATATTCTCTAGAAGAATGTTATTTAATATGTATTATGCTGTATTAAAAAAAACCCACATCACACCATCTTCCAAAACTCATTCATCCAAGCTCCAGTACTTTCATCCCAGAGGTGGGGAAATTGTGATGTCGCAGTCGAGCCTTGATAAGGAGGAGCGACGCGTCGCAGCAGCCACAGCGCCGTCAGAGCCATGCCGAATTTTGAAATTGAAAGGGGGCGGGTCAGAGTGGGCGGGCATCATGAGAAGGACGAGGACGAGGAGGTTCGCGGTGCTGTATTCGGCGTGACCGTTGTTGCAGATATACATGGGACAGTGTGTTTTAGAGTCGATTCTTCATTGCCAGTTGCTGGTGGTGGTTGTGCTGGTGCTGCGGAACCTCGGCGTCTCATGATTGATGGTCCGCTGTTATTGGATCCATGAAAGACCTAATACCTCATGGTCTAATGTGGCCTACTCAAGCTCATTGCGTGGTTCAATTCCGTGGAGAGTTTGCCTTTGCTACTCCGTTTGTTTGGAACTTTTAGGCGGCATTTGGATGAGCGATCTTCGCACACGTGGGTAACGGTTTCCTCATTCATGATGGTGTGGAGTTGGAGTAGTAAGCTTTATATCTTTGTTTTTAACTTATAAATTGTTTTTGAGTTGATTCATTAGGTTCAAAGCTTTCGGGAGTGTTTGTGTGAGTGCGGTGCTCATGATGGGAATGCTGGTAGACATGCCATCAGATCAGTGGGTTTGGCTCGTTTGTTTGGTGGCTGTTGTATCGAGCACGTGGAGACTGAAAACTTAACGCACAGTGTGTAAATTTTGAATGGGGTCATGTTGGAGGAAGATCTGGTTGGAAGTCGTGGATTAGCTAGAGCGATTAGGTCTCAAGGTCTACAAGATGCCGCTTGGTTGAGTGGGGATAGGAATAAGCTGGGCGGTGCACTCAGAGCGGCTTCCGATAGAACCATTCGAAAGAACATATGCACAGAGTGTTGGAAAGACCTTAGGTCTGACAGACGTCTGGGAGTAAGGGATAGCTCTAGCTGTTTGAAATCTATTTCAGTTAGTCGCGTTGGTGGAACGTTACGCCATCAGTTGCGTGGAATCAGCTGCAACATACTATAATTTGCTGCTTCTGCGTGTTTACTCTTAAGGACTACCCCCGTCACTCGCTTGAGTGAATGAGTGGGGTAGTTTGAATTTTTTTTAGTAATGTTATTGCAATGTCAAACAAATTTTATGAACAGTAACTACTAGTTGGTTTTTTAGTTGCTCCGTTTTTTCTGGGGTTGAGAAAGCACTGATTTGTTGATCTTTGGATGGTGTCTAGGAGTACCGGGTTTCCGTATATCAGTATGGGTATCATCTAACGTGAAATCTCTGATAACTGCAATTCTCTTCTTTCTACTGTTCATTTTTGGAGTATTTACAGCTTATACCGCACTATGGTTTCTAATTATATGATAATAGCTTCTTTTTTTTCGTGTAATGCAGCTCAATCTTTACGTTGTGCTTGCAGAGTACTCAGGAGATGGATGATGCTGGGGAGGTCCACGTTGGATGTGAGATCGTCTCTGGTGCAAGGAATATTCATTCAGTCAAGTTATAAGGATGGCATGCCGATGATTCGGGACCTTGGTGATGACAATGGAGACGATTCAGCAGATCAGCCCCTTCACCACTTGATAATTACATCGCGCATGCGTATGACAATTGGTGACGACGAGGCCAGAAACAGTGTATTGAGTGAAGAGAGCGAAGAGTCAGAGGAAGGAATCCTGGGAGAGGAGCATCAGAAGGAAGAAGAGAGTGAAGAGGTAGGTCACCTTATGGAGGAGCCAGTGATGGAAGATTCTGAAATTCAAGTGAGTGTCCTTCCATAAGCACCCATTATGTAAGAGATGGCGTGACCGATTCTGATGGAGAGCAGCAGCTAGCTCTCCCTGAAGCACAGTATGACGAGGAGAGTGAGGGAGAACAGAGTGAACATCATGAAGATAACCACAACGAAGTCCGTGAAGATCTACTGGTGAAACTCATGTAGAGATCCTTGCTGCTTACAAAGAGAATCATGAAGAGGATCATCGTGGTGATAACGGAGATAATCGGGTAGTGGCTCATGTGCAGGTGCATGCGGACAATCACGGAGATGAAACCAATACTGAGGATGACGAATCAGACCATTACGCGGATCGCGAAGAAACCCAGCTTGTAGTCCATGTTCAGGTGGAAAATTGTGAGAAGAACCATGGAAATACTCGTGAGGAAAATCTCGAGAATCATTGAAACCTAGACAAGGATCATGAACTAGATAATTGCAAGGATTACGGAGATAACCGCGCGATAATTAATGGACGAGATTATGCAGACAGCCATGAGGAATGTCTTGAGGAGTATCGTGAGGTACATCATGGGAGTGAGAAATGTCAGAAGAGGGACGATCATACTAAGTCTCACTCTGAAGATGACCGAGAGAGAGCTTATACTGAAAGTGAATGAGCAAGTGACTCTTATCAACCTTGCAGAGGAATCAGAGTTTGAGGCTGATAAGATGGAGGGTGATTCGGTATGTATTGGAATGAACGGAGCACTACATGCTGAAGTAAGCGCGCTGGAACTGCTGAGTAATGCAGATATTAAAGTTAACGGCGAGCAGCCTGCGCACCATGACCAGTCTGACGTTACAGAGGAGGCACAGCAGTCGGGATATTCTAGAAACACACATCACGACCGGATAGTTCCTAGATCAACCAAGCCAGCCTTGACAAAAGCAACTGAAAAATTACTCATTGACAAAAGGAAGTCACACTCAATTGTACCCCGCGGTAAAATAGCTAGACCATCCTCTGCTCCTACTTTAGGGACACTCCATGCTCAGTCTGAACCAGATAGATACAACAGAGCCAAGCATGCTACAACAGTGGAAGTAAAGGCCTCAGATTGTGCCTTACAGTCTGGGAGAGCTGCTCACACATGACCATCTGCAAGGTTGTCGCGTTCTAAGCTCACTATTCCGCAGCCTATCCAACTGGCAACAGAGAAAAGAGCGTCCTCAATCGGACGTCCTGTGGATTCAGATGCACTTAAGCCTCGTACCCCAAGTCACCTGATGAGGAGATATTACCCAGCCGCTCATACGAAGAATGGGGGAGCGATTTCGGGAGTTATTAGAGCTGCCTCTTCACGGACGTCGAAGGAGGATCAGGAGGCACTTGAGACAATAGAGATAGACAGAGAAGCGAAATTTGAGGAGACGTTGGCAGCTCTCAGGCTCAAGACTGGTAACCCATCCGAATTTTGCTTCATGAGTGATGAGCGAGCTGAAAAAAGACGACAGTTTTGATCCAAATTGGAAGAAAAAATGAAAGCCAAAGAAGAAGAGAAAAACCAGACACAGGCAAAGAGCCAGGAAGAAATAGATAATATGATGAAACAGTGGCGGAAGAGTTTGACCTTCACGGCCACTCCATTGCCAAGCTTTTATCAAGAAACAGGCCCACTGAAAGTTGAAGTAAAGAAAATCCCTCCAACCAGGCCAAAATCTCCCAAACTAAGGACTTCAAGGAGAAGCAGTCAAGTGGCAGAACATGAAAGTTCAAGGTCTGCATTGGCTAGAACCAGGGGTGACTTGCGAGCCAGTCATTTAGGTGTGCCTTACAAAACGTCTGACTTAATAGATGGCAAAAACGCTACTTTCAGGAAATCAATGACAAGAATTCCGTTCACAGATAAGATTGCAGTTCGTTCAAAGATTGATGCTCACGGCAACAGCGAAGCTGCTGGAAAAGAAAAATCAGATAGTATTCCGCCTTCGAGGAAAATATCCATTGCAGTCGTTCCAGAGTCAGGAATGGACATGACAACCAAGCAACCTGATGCATGGGAAGCTGCTAGTTCCAACAGAAGGAGGGACCAATTCCAGATGGTCTTTCCGTAACGGCGGACCTTCTGCAGGTCGTCCAAAAAAAGCTGAGTAAGGTAAATCCAGAAGCAGCGAAGTTGCTGGAGAGGTGGCCAAAACAGATAAAAAGGATGGGGTCAGGAAGTCAATACAATTGCGTCCAAAAACCGTTGGTTCTCGGCGTGAAATTTTAGAAGCTGAGCCTCTAAGTCTCGTTCATGGTATGTCATCCAAGGAAGCGCTTTCACCAGTTATGCCAGATGTGGCAGTTGCATAGTGATTACGTATTGTTGTATTCTAGTGGTTCTCAAGCTGGAGGCTGCAAGTTCTGATGAAAATGTTCTATGCTTAGACTGATTATGAGGTAATGTAGGAAGCCTGTTCCTCTTTTCGGGGCTGTGTTTATCTGGGTTGAATAACAAATGACTGTTGTTATCCCCGTCTAAATTAGCGAATTTGAGTTCCTAATACAATTGGCTGCCCTCACAATTGAGCTGGCATGCACAACAGGCGTGCTTAAGAGGGTGTTGTCGCCATGTGTTGCACAGTGATAGTTAGTTGTATGTCTCTTGGGTGTCAAATTTACCGACTGACCAGAATTGAGCAAAATTTCTCACGAATTGGAGTGATATGAAATGCGAACTGCACATAATCTTTCCAGAAAGATATAATTCTCCTCGACAATAAGTATCTTTCCTAGTCTTTTTATACTGACCTCCTCCGTGCGTCTTTCTGGCAAAATTGTAGCTGTCCATCCTTTCCTAAATTCTTGAAAGTTTTTGTTCCAACTCTTTCTTTAGGATATTTTCTTTTGTGCTGATTATTCTGTACTCTATTTGCAGCATGATCAACACAGAAAGAAATTTGAAATCGTTCTAACGTACATCGTTAATCAGGTAGAATTAAGTTGTCTGTGTCGATGTTCCAGGTGTGGTGTCCGAGGAGGGTATGGTTCAAGTTCTTTACAACCAAACATGCAGGGCTAGTAAAGGAGCACTTAAAATCGGCACAATCTAGGAACAGCAGTCATTGACTTCGAGAGTTCAGTTATCTAGACAACAGTAAGCTAGAAAGTAGCGACCAGTAGCATCTCGGTTCCTCAACTACATTTTTCCCCTTTCTTCACTAATAATCCTAAATAATGCTCTGAGAATCCTTTGTGTGAGAGCACAGAATAAGCGCGGGCAGTTGGGGAATTCAACAAGACAAATGCACGGTTATCGACTACGATACTCCTATTTGAAGGTTGTTCTGTACCGGGAAGGCCTGAATTTGTACCAAATTGGAAAGAACCATGTAAAACCCCTTGTTTGTTTGATTAACTTTGAATGATTTAAAAGATTCCCCTCGGTTGGTATGTAACTAAAGGTGGTTTCTTTTTTCTGGCTTCGTGTCTTCACAGGAGACAATCTGGCTCATGATGCAAGATCTCATGATGGGATGCTACCGAATCTCACATTCGTAGTCCTAGACTTGTTTTAAAATTTAAATCATACCAGTGAACAGTTGATCGTGTGTCCGCATTTGTGCAACAGCTGCGATGATTTTTGCAGCATGACAAGGCTTTGAACGAATGGTTGCTGAGGAGCAGCCAATTGGTCCAAAATTAATTCCAGTGAGATTTAAGAAGTTGAATTATTTATTTTACCATGAAGGTAGAATGGCCGGTGATAATCTTGACATAATCAGAAGCAGTACAAAAGTAATTCAGTGGAAACTTAGGGAGAAAGAATGAAAGAGAGTGAGTGAGTTATTGGAACTACCAAGGGAAGTTAAGATTTAGTAACTTTAATCATAATTCTGAACAGGGTGTTAGAAGCTTTTTATCTTCATAAGGGACGCTCACCTACTAGGGTTGCAACTTCTTGACATGGTGCATTGTTTTTCTTGTTTGTTTTTACTCACCACTGATTGGTTGAGGGTTTTGTGAATTTGTGATTTCTACTACGCCCTTGTAAGCAAGTTGCTGTATAGGTTGGATTCTCTTCAAAGCACGCCAAGAAACGGGAGGTGAGTGGCAAGCTTTGGACTAGAAAATGGCTTGGTAAATATATTGGCTTGTATTTTATTAATAGGACAGTAATTAAAACAGAGTTTGTTGACATTGGCAAATTGGCAAATGAAGTGATAGCATATGTCAATGTATTTGGTGTAGAAGTGCAATTTTGTTGTATCAAGTAAAGCAAGGACTAATTGATTATTGCAATGGATTAAAAATGTGGGTTTGAGGTGCTTGGTTTGTTGGAGGTCAAGTAGTAAGTGGTAGAGTCAACTTGCTTTAGAGGCGGCGGTAGGCATAGCCATGTACTCTGCCTATGTATTAGACAATACCATAAATTGTTGGCAAGTGGAGCCCTAGTTAATCACACCTTGTAATAAGAAGAAACAATATTCCAATATAAAATAATTTTTATTAATATTATTAGCTTAGTATGTATTACTGAAACAAAACATAGGTCATAGAAGTGAGGTCGTGAGGCAATATTTAATGTGGTAGTTGAGAGAGCCATGTTGTTAAGTTGTAACATAATTATATGGTGAAAGATAAAAATATAGGTTCTATTATATAAGAGCCTAATTGAAAAATATAGTAACAAAACATAAGTAAAAGATAGAGAGGTACTAAAAACTTTTAATATTAATGCAATTTTTTTTTGTAAAAAAGAATCCTACTTAGTTTGTATGGCCATAAATAAAGCAAAATAAAATAGATTAGAAAAATAAATAATACAGGTATCTTTAGAAGAGAATTAAGAGTAGTTTGTAACAAAAAATATCTTAAAAAATTGAAATTGATACCTAAAGAAGACCAATTGTAAATTAGGATGAAAATCATATCCCAAGGCATACAACCATGCACCTATAGCAATTCAAGAATTTTTTTGTTGATCAAAGAGGAAGGTTAGGGAGGAAAATTTTAAAAAATATTTTAGCATTTGTTTCAAGAAATCTAGATTAATTTTAAGTTTCAAAGAGTTTTCAAAGTTTGAGATGTTTTTAATGATTTTGGATTTTAAAAATAAGAATAAGTTTATATATTTGAGAAATTTATAAGTATTGTAGCAAATGGGCAAGTGAAATTTTGTGGATTTATAAATGTACTTATCCTAAATGTATTTTAAAAAATTTAAGATTAATCAAATGAAAAAATTAAAAGATATTAGAATTTGATTGGGATAGAATTTTAGAAATTTGATTTTTAAGATAAATAAGAGTTTTCATAATCTTAAATAATCTATTAGTTCTATTAAAATAATATTTTGTGAGAATTTAGTGATTTTATTTTTTAATAATTTTATTAATTTAGAAGACAATTAAAAAGTTTATTAAGGAGTAATTGCTACTAAAAGATCAACATCAAGCTTAAAAAAAGAGAACAACCAACACTCAAGAAAATTAAGAGTTTTTTTTTTTTTTTCTATTATAAAGTTTAATTTTTTTCAAACTTATGTACTTATTTTTTATTTAAAGATTGAAATGTATAAAAAGTTTTAGTCAAGCCTAATGGTTTAATTAATAATTATTGAAGTTTTGAGACTATAATAGAAATTTTTTTTGAATTTATTTAAGATTTCTTTAGAAATAAATTAAGAATTAATTAAGTTTTAATTAAGATTTAATTAGGATTTTCTTAAGATTTTATTAAGATTTTATTAAGATTTATTTAAGAATTGGTCGGAATTTATTTAATATTTTATTTTTTAATAATTCTTTAGGATTTTTTTAAATCTATATATTATTCTTTCAGAATTCTTTAACATTTTTTCATGATTCTTTTAAAATTTCTTTAAAAAAAATTAGAATTGATAAAGGTTTGATTAAGATTCTTAAGGTTTAATTGAGATTTTTTTAGAATTCTATTAGAGTTGGTAGGATTTTTGTTTATTGCAATCTCTAGTTTATCTTCTACAACTAAGTACTTGTTGTATCCTAAAGCAAGACAATATATTATATAATAATGTAGATACCAAAAAATATCTTTACAAGCTTGGATGTGTTTAAGTCTAGATTTGTGTATGTATTATATCAAGATACTAAGTACAAACGTTATATTGAAAAAAATGGAGATACTTGCATAGTTAAAAGAACTAGCTATATTAACAAATAAGAAGTAGGTATAAAGATATTGAGGCATAAGAGCAAGAGATCAATCCATCATAATTTTTTTGTATTATAGTCAATTGATGTGGAAATAAGATGATTCTCAAAGAAATCAAATTTAAAGAGCTTTTATTTGATATATAAGATTTGAGTGATGTGGAACCAACTATAATGGAAGTTATAAGTGGTGTAAAGATTGAGAATATAATGGATCTCTTTCAAATGAGAGAGAAGAAATTAAGAGTGAAATTAATTCTTGATGGTTTATAAGAACAAAAGTTTATTGCTGACTATTAATATATCATCAACATAAAATGTAAGAATAATGAAGTATGGGCCACAATACAAGTAATGAGTATTTCT